TTCATGTTATGTAATTTAGTATTAAGACATTGCCTGAAACCCTTGATTTCATGAATAATATTATTATTACAAAAGATCTTTAGCAGCCCTGCTGTGTTTGGCGGCTCTGCCGGGTTTCACGGCTCTGTCGGGTTTCGCGGCTCTGCCTGTGTTCCGCGGCTCTGCCGTGTTCCACGACCCTGCCGTGTTCCGCGGCTCCGCCGTGGAGTGTTCTCTTCAACAGGTGCTAGGGAGAGTTCGAATTAGGCAGGCAGATTGAGTTAGGCAGGCAGATTGAGTTAGGCAGGATTTTAATGATTAATGATAAAGAGCCAATTAATTGAAGTAGTTAAAGTGATTGAAGTGATTAATTAAAGTGATTGAAGTGATTAATTAAAGTGATTGAAGTGATTAATTAAAGTGATTGAAGTGATTAATTAAAGTGATTAACAATTATAACTCAAAACTCTGTCATGTCATCAAAACTCATGTCAGAGGCCAGCTTTGCCCAAGTTCACAGTTTGACCAGATCTGCAGATAAGATGTTTCCCAAAATGATGTAGATTCACTAGATTGTAGCCTACTTTCAATTCTCTTCAATCATGTAAATTGAAAAGAAATAGTAACAGAAACTAGGGAGCATCTGACTAGAAATTTAAGGTCCTGAATAGTGAAAAAGGAGACTAAAATTGATTTAAAAGATTTTTGTGCAATTATAAAAAAATTTTAGTACAGTCTCAGATCTAGTAGGAGTTCTTGTTTTTGAAAGTTCTTGCACCAGCTACTGTGCAGAGAGTGCAAACAGCATCACCAAGATATGGTTTTTAGCCTAAAGCGTAGCCAGCCATTTTCAAGATCTGTTGCCAGGTAATTTTTAATAAGAAAGTACTGCAAGGCGCAAGCAACAATGATAGTATATCCCTTAGACCCTTACTATTCATGCACCGCAACTTATTTCCAAATAAGCTTCACTGCATCCTGATCCTTCTGGCATACCGCATACCGGAAACCTTACTGTCAACCGGGGACAGTTTTGAGCGTTTTTTGTTAATAACTTCTTACCATGAAACATTTCATAAACAGGTTTAGGCTCATTTTATAGCTCTTTGAGACTGAGAAGGCTATCAAATGGCATCTTCAAAAAAATTCCATATGCTATTCGTAAGGTGCCAGAAGCAAAAAAAGAGTGTCCCGAGTAGCCCCATTGATTGAACTGGGCTACTTGGGACACTTGGAATAAAAATTAATTTTAAAACATTTGAAGCAAGCAGAGTGTACTCATCCATTACTATTTACTGACAGTACTCTGAACTCTGAAGTCCTCCTCTTTCATTGTAGATGAGGTAGAGGTAGAATACATGACATTTTATGTGATTTTTACTCATTTTTCCTTTATTGATATGATATTACCATATACATTGATTACCGTATTATTGATGCAATATTACCGTATTATTGATGCGATATTACCGTATCCATGAACATGCCATTGAGCATTTACAACAACCTTGTCCACTGCAAGCTTCATATCAGCAGCCTTATAGCATTTTTTCTGTATCTGTAAGCTCACAGGACGGCTTGTAATTTCACACCATTTTAATTGGGTTAAGTAAATTTACTATAAAAAAAAGATCGTGAAAAACATACCTGAAACAGAAAGGAATGTTTTAGTGACAACCATCATATGTTTTGCAAAAATAAATCATAGTTTAGGTCAATTACTTTTCATTCTATGATACCTGGTGTACAATTCTATATATGACAATCTATGCACAATTTTGTGATGACTGATGATGCACTAATTTTTTGATAAGTGAAATTTTTTTGCCAAGCGAGGTTAATGTAATCAATATTCTTTGTTTTTAATCAATTGTTCTCTTAACTGGAGCCTTTGCTTACTGAGGTTCTACTGTAAATGCGTTTTTGGGGGTGTCCCGAATAGCCCCGAGGGGGGTGTCCCGAGTAGCCCCGCCGTGCGGAAAAGTCTGCCATTTTTGGGGGGATTGAGGTATGTAAATTCTGCAAATAAAG